AATGTCATTCTTGTTAAAAGAAATTTCTCCTTTTCTAGCATCTTAACTATTATATTAGGAGGAAGTTTTTTTTTGGAAGCATCTTACCTTTAAAAATAACCATTAATATTAAGTTTTTGTCTATCATCAAGAATCGTTAAAACACGAGTAAATTGATATTTATCATTTTCAGTAATATGAATAAACTGTAAATTGTTTTTGCTTTCTTTTTTAATACTAACCATGTTAAAAAAATTGGTGTTTCATCTAAATTTGCAATTTGTGATAAGTAATATTGAGTTTTTCGATTATGTATTCAATAAATAAATTCGTATAATTATTTATAAAATAATCAAGGCGTCTCCGATATACAAAAAACATTTTTATTATCTGATGAATCTTTATCAATAAAAGATTTCATTTTTGTTAAATCATAAATGGTGTAATAGAAATTCCATCTTGACGCAAAATTTCAATCCATTCAATTAATTCTTTTCCAATATTTGAATATAAAGGTTTGTATCGGTAATAATACGGTGATTATTAAGTTTAACTTTAATAAACTTGATTTTGTGAATAATTAATTCCATATCATTTTTCTGCTTCTTTTAACTTTTGGCATATTAAAAAATAAACAGTTTTAAAATTTTATAATTTTTAATTTTATTATTTCTTTATTACAATATTGCTTTTTACAATAGAAATATCACTAAATAATGTGATATTATTGTTTAAAAATAACACCCCTATTTTTTTTAAGGGTGGTTGCTTAAATTTAATGAAATGTCGATCATTTCTAAATTTTAAGTGGTCCCGTAACCTGATTTGCATCGCAAAAAAAATAAATACAAGCTAATGAGACTTTAACGCCTTTCGATCATTATAAAAATAACGAGGTATAAGGTCATTCCAGAATTTTCATTAACCGTTCTTCAGAATTTTTCACTTCTTCGCTTTTATATTAACCTAATAAATTATTTAGTCTTCTCTGCGACTGTTCTCTTGGCCGAAAACTGTGTTACTGAATCTCTTATTAATTTTTTTGCGTGGCCAAAACTTAAACCTCGACGAGGATGACTCTTCGTAAAGAAAAAATACAAGATCAAATCTTCCCAGATATGACCAAAAAAAAGATTACGAAAGATGGCATGAAACGAGGACCCGATATAAACAAGCTAGAATGAATGTTTAAGGATCAAGCAAAAGTTCTTCTCAAGAAGGGTAAAACCGGCTTTTATCATGTGAAATGTGGTCCATTCATTTCACCTCCTGGGCCACTAAGATGCTCGGAGATTTTGAAAAAAATGAGGCGCATATGATGTTTTATAACATAAGTAACCCATCAAAAAAATGGCATAAAAATTTTATAATTAATTTATAAAAAGCACAATTTTGATGGGACCACTAAGTATAGGATCGGTCCTTGGGACTCGGTCCTAAGTCCTTAAATTTTAAATTTTAAGAAATTCTGGTATTCCAAGAGGGTTTATTATATATTTTCATTAAGTAGCTCATTAAAACATTATAATATACAAGTTTCATAATAAATTTGTAAATATAATTCTTTGTAATTTTCTTGTAACCTTTTAGGACCGCTTATGACAGCTTAACATCTCTACTTTATATATCTGATATTTCGTGATGACCCGAACATCTCCTTGAGATTTGTATTCACGAAAAAGGTAAGTATCTTATTTTATATGCTCAAACATGCGTTTTTCTCCGCGTTCTGGGTATAGCATCTAAATAAACTTGCTAAGAAATATTATCAATTGACTGATACTTTAAAAAGGTACAAGAACCTTTAGCTGATATTTATAATCAGCAAGTTTCGTTAACTACTGTACCTGTTGCTGAGAAAAAACGAAGTATTGGTAATATCATGGATATCTGCATAAATGTTCATTGCATAAAAATGGATCCATAGATATTTTGGCAGGGTTAAAGGTTGTAGTGAATTCGACCAAGGCACAATAGCACTAGGATCCTCCCGGGAGAACACATACGACGCTGTGATATATAGGATCTTAGTAAATTGGCTAAGATTCACAGCTACGAAATTACAGGCCATTGGCATCTTGAACAAGTATGTGATGATGGCAATTACCATCACTTTTATCGTGACCTAACAATAAAGAAACCCGATATCCTCCATCCTGAGGCTCTTCTTGAACGCTTGGCGACAACATCAATTTCAAAATTAAATGGGCACATCGAGCAAGTATTTAAGTACGCGAGCGTCTTTGTCATCAAGAAGTTTAAATTGTACATTTTTCTCATGAAGAGTTTGTTGTAACAGCTCCATACTGGCCGGGTAAAAAGCTTCAGGATAGAGAGTTAAATGTCGCACATTTCTGGCACAACAGGGATTTTAGTAATGTACGAATGAGTCTGTAACTGAAAAGTTTTCATGAAATTATAGATGAGTAAATTTTACCCCAATTTTGTATTATAATAAAGTTTTCCTGAAAAGGCTTTATTAACTCGTGTATCAATGAACATTTTTGTAAGCAAATTTTTTTGCGCAAACTATAACTAAAACCGAATTTCCATTTTGACAAATCATTATAAGCTCCAGTTAAGAGAGCATATCAGAGACTTTACATCACTCTAAGAATTAATTTCAGAGAAATCTGTTCGAATTTATTCATATTTGTGCAAAACATTAGAGGTTTAAACCGGAAACGCAGAACTATGGATCAGAAAAAATTACTACGTTCTAAAAGCTGACCCGAAATATAATACATCTCTGGTACTACCAGATCAGTTACATATGTTACAGATAAAGAGATACAAGCACAAGATTCTTTCTTTTGTAACCATGAGAAAGAGTAAAATCGTCGGGTTAGAAATGAGCTTGACATTTTATATCGACAATTACTTAAATATGATTTAATCGATACATGCAAGATTTGACTAAGGATTACGAGGAGCGGGATTAAAATTAATCACCAACTGCGCCATGAAATTAAGTTGCAATTTCGGTAAGCAGAAAAAACTTGCTTTCATGAAATCTGATATGTAAAGAAAAATAATTTCTGAGCATTTATTTTCGGGAATACTGACCCTTGCAAATTTTTTAACGGAATACTATTTTGGAAACTTTTGGTTTACCAGAAATTCTTGGATTTTAACGGATTTTCGGATTTTCAAGCAGTAATACCATGCATTTTAATACTCGCTATTCGATCAAATAAATATCCATAGAAAGTGATATATGGAGATAGCTTAAATCAGTAAGTATATAATCCATTATCAGAAGAACAGGCAGAAGGGATCCATTCAGACATTGAAAAGTTGCTTACGAAGGAGGTTAATAGGATAAGAAAAAAGATCGCCTAAGTTATTCTAGATGGCTCGAGTACTTTATCCCGATTAGATTGATTGGAGAAGCAACTGGATGAGCGCGTAGCTTAAAACAGGAGGATTATAATATTAAAAACTATTGAATCACAGGTTGAAGAGGAGCGCAAGTGACTAATAAGTGAATATGATATAACTTGCGCCTGCAAGATGAATTTGATAAGGTCTTTAATGATATAAAAAATCGGTCTATATTGTTAAAGCAAAAATTGGAGGTCAAGTATAAATCCCGTTCTTCTGATTTGGAAAGAGAATAAATTTACTCTTTGGATAAAGATATGAAGAGAAAGATAATGAAATCGGCAAGCTATCTTCGTCGCTTTCTCAATCTAAATATAGATAAAGGGTCTGGGATAAAGGGTCTAATAAAGGTTCTTTCTTCTGTTAAAAAGACGATATTATCTTTGCTATGGGCCAAATAATTATTGCCTATAATGAAGGTATTTGTTCTATTAATCCTGGCTGTATAGACAATATATAGAAATATGATTTTAATAGTAAAAACTTTCATGGAAAAAGTTGCGTTATCAAGCTGAAGATGATATTCGCAAGAAATACAGTATACATTTCGTTCTCCTATTTACAGTTCAATCCCTTTTTGCATATACTCGAATTCCCTCAATCAAGATTCCGGGATGTGATAGTAAACATGATTGCATAACCGATTTGACTACCTGGTCCAAAAAAAAGTTTCATAGAGTGTGTTTTATTTATCTATCCCGAAGAAGCAAAGCTTCGAGGAGAGGAATTTCTATAAAAAAAAATTATTATTAATATTAATATAATAATCAGAAAATGTAATAATTAGAGAATTTATGATGAGAAAATATTAATCAGAATATTAAAAGAATATAAAATTTATTGATTTTAAATATTTGAATTTACTAATCTATTTTTAATTTATGAGAAAAATTATAAAAGATAGTAATTACATTTTTTGGATAAATAAAACGTTAATAAATTAAGTTTGTTATTTCTTATACTAAATTTTAAAATCAAGCTATTTATTATAACAATTTTAAAAATTTTATTAAAATTCATATGTTTCTTTACTAATAAACACTGAAATTTTATTATTAAAATTTGCAATAATATTTAACTTAGTTATAATTAAATCATAATCATATGTTTAATATAAAAACAATCAATATCAATAATTTCAAGTTATTAGTTTCGTCATAATCTTTGAAATCTTTGATAGCCGGCATAAAAATTAATATATTTCAACATAAAACATGATCAAAAAGCAAGCAATATTAAATTTTCAAACAAAGGTTTTGGGAAATTTTTTCAATTTCATCATCCTATATAAAAGATAATAATTACATAATTTAATAAATTTATTTCTTACCATTATGGGATAAAGCAATGTATTGAATGCCAAACATTTATATAATCAAATTTCATTTATATATTTAACATATTTGACAAAATATAAAGAATAATTTAAGAAAATTAGGGATGTGAAGCAGTCCTAAGTGGTCTTAAAAGTTCCAATAAAAATATAAAGAATTATATTTACAAATTTATTATGAAACTTGTCTATTTAATTAGAGTTCCGAATTTGACCTGACAGATCGGATGACCTGACGGGTTGACCTAAAAATTTCAGGTTAGATCTACAATTTGATAACCTGATATCAGATCAGGTCAAGTCCTTATACTTTCGTTCTCAAGTGTCTAAAATGTCCAACAAAAATTTTTCAAAGAGTTCTCATTATAAAATTGATTCAGACTTAGAAGAGAATACTCCTAATGAAGAACTCAACTTAGATAAAGAAAGCAGCGGACTTCCAGAATAATCAAATTCTATTTTAAGCTTACTAGACGAAAATGGAAAGCGGTCAGTAGAAAAGGGGGAAATCCACTTTTTTGTTAAAATTTTTTTTATTGATTCACTCTGCTGATCATGGTCATATGAATAAAACTAGCTTAATAACTAAAATTACTCAAAATTTGTAGATTTCCCCCTTTTCTATTGACCGCCCCCAAATGATAAAAAAAATAAAAGTGCTGTGTGGGACCATTTTGATAAATTTGTAGATAATAAAGGTATTATATGGGCAAAGTGTCAATATTGCTTGTAAGAGATACAAGCATTTTTGCATAGAAAGTGGACAATTTTTCTGCATTTCTACATGGATAGGAACAAATTTAAAACATATTTTTTTTTTTAAAAAAAAAACTATTTTTATTAGAAGTGGCAAGTATAAGATAAGTAGTTGAAGTTCAACTGGTAACTTAAATCATCATCTTAAGTTACATCTGGAGAAAATTGATCCTAAAATTGCAAAACAAGCAGAACTCATGAAAAAATTTCTACAGTTAGATAATAAAATAGTAAGTATAATTTATTCTATTTTTACCTTACCTTAAAGTAGTAAATTATTTAATTATTATATTCATTCTATTTAAACATTTTCTAATAAAATTTTTCGAGAAAAACTTGCTAAATAGGTTGCTACTGATGATTAATCATTCACAGTTGTTGAATCACCTGAGTTTCATACTTTAATAAAACTTTGCAATCTGGTAGCATATATTCTATCAGCAGACACAGTGAGAAATGATATGATTAAGTTATATAATAACTATAAAATGAATTTGCAAAATATATTATAGGTTAGTAAAATAAATTATAATATTTACAAATTACAATTATCATTTAATTAAACTAATTTACCATTAATTAAAAAATAATTTAGGAAAATAAGCTTTATGTTAGACGAGTAAATATCACCTAATGTTATTGGATTTTTCAATATAACAGCTCATTATATTGATTCTGACTGGAATTTTAAAGATGTTTCTGTAGATTTTGTTTATCTTACATGATCCCATTCAGTGAAATTTAGCACAAGCATTCGTGAAATCCCTTCAGGATAAAAAATATTAACCAAAGTAAACAATAAGTTTATTTTTACTTTATATAATAAATTTAATAAGTTAATTATTTATTATTAGATCCTTGGAATCACAGCCAATAATACTATGAATAATAATACTTTTTTAAGGGCTCTTGAACAAATTTGCAGTGAAAAACAGATTGATTTTTATCACTAATAAAATCATATTAGATGCATCACTCATATTATAAATCGCATAGTACAAAAAATATTAAATTATATTAAAGCTGAAAATACAAAAGATGAAAATTTGATTTTAGAAGAACTTGAAGAAAAAAACGTCCATTTATATGAAATAATACCTAAGGTAAACTCATAAAATATGGATTATGTAAACATAATTATTTATTAAAAATTTGTTATATGTATTTACAATAAACTCATTGTAAAAATCTGAGCCTCTTCATAACGCAAAGTAATTTTTCAGTCAATGTGATCTTTATCAAAATATTAAAAATCTAAACCTTATTTTAGATGTTAAGATAAGATAGAATTTTACGTATTTTGATGCTAAAATGTACACTTGAACTTCAAAAGGTAATATTTATTAAAAATTTAGAAATAAATTATAATAATTATTTATTATATTTATAATTATATTTAGCCCTTTAATAATATAATAATGATCAAATAGGAATTAAAATATTTTTTAATTTTGACAAAGGAATAGAATCATATAGAAGAATTATGTCTTATATTTAAGGTAAAGGTTTTTTTCATTAAATTTTATTGCATTTTAAACTCAAATCATTTTTAAGTACAATTCTATATATAATTTAGATTTTTTATAAAGCAACTGAAGAAATATCAAAATCATAATGTGTTACACTTTCTTTTTCAATTCCTATATATAATGTTTTGCTAAATTATTTAGAAAAACTCATTGATAATGAAAATAAAGAGTATTGTACAATTCCTGAAGTAAGAATCGCTATAATAAAAAAGTACAAAAAACTTAAAACTTATTACTCTAAAATAGATCAATTAATTGTCTATCCAATTGCAATAAGCATTAAATATTTAATTTAAATTTTTTTTTGTTAAAAATTTATTTAATCTCTAATAATATATTTATTATATATTTTTAGTTCTTGATTCTTAAATAAAATTAAAGTACTATCAATAACAATAATGAGAACAAGGTTTATCAATGATGCATAAAAAAATATTAGTGATATATACAGTCATGTCCAAAAGTGATGCCTGATTTAAAATTAATGTTAAAAATAACAAAACTTTATTAACTTTCATTAAAATTCACATAAAAAATAATTACTAAAAATGGTTAATAATGTGTTGACCCTTCTCTAGCTTCTAGTACTGCATTTATTCTTTGTAACATTGAAGCAACAACCTTTTCAAAAATGGAACAATCCAAATTTTCCCATTCTTCGCTTAGTGCAACTTTAAATTCACCCATAGTTCTTGAAAAAACCTTACAACTCTGGATATTGTCTTTTAACTACTTTCAGATATTTTCTATTAAATTTAGGTTGGAAGAATTTTCCAGCCAATCAATAACCACAATTTTATTCTTCTTCAACTAATCCTTAGTTATTTTCGCAGTATGAATAGGTGTATTATCCTGTTGAAAAATTGCAGCCCTTTCTATTAACTCATAAACTGTATATTAAAATGGATATAGATATGAATTTAGGATTCTAATGTAAGTATTTGAATTGAATTTTCATTTTCTTCTTTATTTTCATCACAAAAAATTAATGGTCCTTTTATTCCTCCTGCAAAACATTCTCAAACTATGACTGATTTTTAATCACTTTTAAATGTAGGTGCACAAACATTCGGTGTTAAACCTTTTCCCTGTGTGTCTTTAAACTCTTAATTGTCGTGACTGCTTGCCAATCTCAACACTTGATTCATCTGAGAAAATAACTCGTGCCCAATCATAAACTGTATTTTCTTTATATTTTTTACACCAACTAATATGATCTAATAAATGCTTTTCTGATATAAAAGGTTTTTTTGCATCAACATGAGAATAAATTCCAACATCATGTAATACTCTTTTAGCAGTTGTAAGACTGCAATTTAAACCTAGTGTATTAATAACTTCATGTAAAGGTTCACGTTAATCTTGTGTAACTTTATTTATAAGTGTTTTTCTCATTATCATCAAGAACAGGTGGATATCCTGATCTAAATAAATTTTCAATTTTTCCTGTCTTCTTGTATCTATCAATAATTCTTCTTATTGTGGTAGGGTCACGACCCATTTTTCTTGCTATTTATGCAGGGTTAAAATTTTCCATATATGCAAGTATATTCCCCTTATCTTGAGAAGTTAACTCAGTTCTATGTGACATTATTTTTTAATTTTATAATGCGTTTATTAGGTTATAAAATATGAGAAAAACATTTAAAAATAAAAAAAGAAGGTATAAATAATGTAAATTTAGTGTATCATAATACCATACAAAATCAGACGTCACTTTTAAATGTGACTGTACAACAAATATTACTAAGAAAATTCTTTAGTTACTAATAATCCAACTCAAGATTAAAATAAAAGCAATTTTTTTAGCTTGTTCTAAATAGATAATGATTCTTCTGATGAAGATAAATTAGAAGAATCTCTTCAAAAACCTGTGGTTAATTTTAAAACTAATCTACTACAATGGTAAAAAGTAAGTAAATTTATAGCATGTAGCATTTTTTTTATGATATATAGTATAACTAATATAACTATGTATATTACAAGCACACAAAGTTACTTATTCACATCTTGCAACTATAACTCAGGATTTTTTTAGCAATTTCAGGTAAATATAATAATAAAAACTTATAAATTTTATTTAATATTTTTCCTTTATTGATAAAACTAACATATAGTTTTCAATTTTAGGAACCAGTGTGTCTGTTAAGTGAATATTTTCTAGTAGAGCTGACCTGTTATCAAAAAATTGTTATAATTTAGAAAAAGAATCAATCTAGGCATGCATATTTCTTAAGAGTTGATTAAATTACTTTTGATAATTTAATTACAGTTAATTTAATGAAATTTAATATAATTAATATTGTTTATTTACTTTAATAAATTTAATTATTTAGCATTTGTTAATAAAAATATATTTAAAAAATTCAAATAATGAATTAAAGAAAAAATTAGCGTATAAGTTAATAATTACTTACTTTTTTCCTTTTTATAGGTATCAAATCATTCTACAAAGTAAGTTTAAAAAAATTTTTAAAAAAAATTTTAATTAAAAAATTATTTTATTAGTCTTACCTTATTTAAAGATTCTATAGTTAGAGGTTTCAGATCTGTCTACAAGTTAATGTTAGTATTTTTTTAAAAAAATAAAAAAATTTAATTAATTTATTGCATTAGGACTTACCTCTAATCCAAAAATTCCATAGTTAGAGATTCAGATCAGTCTATAAAGTAAGTTAATGTAAATATTTCTTGTTAAATTAAAAAAATTAAAACTATTTCATTAAGACTTAACTACAATCAAAGATTTCATAGTTTAAAAGGTTCTGGAAGCTTTAAATCAATCAGATCAAAGATGTGTCCTATAAAAAAAAGGTAAATATTAGTTTATTTTTAATTAATTACTTACCTCTTTCTCTTTTTGTAAGTATTAGAAATCTGATTTAATTAGTTCAAAGATGAGTCTTACAAAAGAAAGGTAAAGTAATTAATACACTCCCCTGAAGAAAATATCTAAGCACTCAAAAAAAAAATTTATTTTTATTAAAATATTTTCATATTTAATAACTTGTGGGTCACCCATTTCTACTAATATACTCTTCTATTCTATTTGGCATACTTTTTATTAATTTTTTATAAAATGTATTAGGAATTTTGCCCATTCTTCTTGTAAAACAATTTTCAATTCTAATGCATTTTTAGGATGATGTGACCGTTTTCTAACTTGTCTATTAAGCTCATCCTATAAGTGTTCGATTGGGTTAAAATCTAGAGATTGGGACGACCAATTGGACAATATTTTAAGTCTTTTTTTATGAACCCATACTTTTACGTTCTCAGCTGTATGGATGGGAGCATTATCATCTTGAAAAAAATAATTTTCACTACGAAAATTTGATTTTATCCAAGATAACAAATTTTTTTCTAATATTTCAATATATCCAAATCTATTTAATATTCCTTTAACTTTAATTAATGGCCCTAAACCTTTATTTGAAAAGCAACCCCACATCATTACTCCACTACCTCCATGTTTTACTGTAGGTAACAAATTCTCAATATTAAAATGTTTGCCAGAAGCACACCAAATATGATAAGGACCATCACTTTTAAAGATTTCAAAACGAGATTCATCACTCCAAATTATTTCTTTCCATTTAAAAATACCCAATGTCTTCTTTCCAAGCACCAATTTAATCAGTTAATATGTTGTGCTTCAGTTATAAAAGGTTTTTTTGCTGCAATACAAGAAGAAAGCCCAATTTGATGTAATTCTTTAACTAACGTTCTAGT